TGTTGTTGTTAAATGTTGTTGTTAAATGTTGTTGTTGTTGTTGCTGCTGCTGCTGGTGTTATTGTTGTTGTCGTTGTCGTGGTCGTTATTGTTGTTGTTGCTGCTGGTGGTGGTGGTGGTGTTGTTGTTGCTGCTGCTGGTGTTGTTGTTGTTGTTGTTGGTGGTGGTGGTGGTTTTTGGTGGTGTTGGTTTTGGTGATGTTGGTGTTGGTGTTGGACCTGTCAGTTAGCTTCAGAATGCCGTGAAGCACTCGAGCACTTTCCGTAGGTGAGGCAGTTGGATCAGGGATGTGCTGCGCGACATGTTGCATGGTATAGGGTTGAGGTTTAGGGAAGGCGATCTGAACTTGGACATCTGAATCGGATGTGGGTTGAACTCAGAGACGCTGCCGTATTCAACTGAGCATTTGCTTGTCATCTATAGCATGCCAGCCACAGAGTTTGCAATATCTTGTGCTCTTTCCGCAAATTCTCTGATGCTTTTAGTAGGGAGCCCTCATCCCGTCTCGAGTTCTCGGGGGTTTATCCGGCGCGGATCGCTGGGCCTTTGGATCGCGAAGGAACGATCAATGGCGTCAGCACTCGCTTCGGCCTCTTCCATACAGGACGCTTGGACCTTCGAAAGGAAAGTACCTTTACGGTATTGGGAAACCTGTCCCATTGAGCGTGGGATTGTTGCCTTCCGTACTTTTCTTGAAGTGCTGGATTGTCATCTTGTCATGTTTTCCTGTGTGAAAATTGACTAGACGGTTCCATCAGGCTGACACTTTGGCTTAGGGTTGGGGGTTTAGGCCTGAGGGAGCCCCCGGGCGACGAAGTCTGGTTCCAACTTTCAGCTTCGATCACAGACAACTTCAATGAACCCAACACCCCGATCTCCAGACCCCAAGTAAAGCCCGAAGCAAGCGTCACCGCTTTGACACATACAAAGCTGCAGAGGCTTGAAGACTTCCAGCATGAAAGCTCCAACAGTCCAGAACCTCTAAACTCCAAGCCCTTCGATACCTAAGGCTCTTAATGTAATGTAGGGGCTCAAAGAATTACCCACAGTGTTTTTTTGGGGGCTCCTTGTTACTATTTTGGAGGTTCCTTATTGCCATGTTGGAGGTTCCTTATTAAAAATTGTGGGCTACTGGGCCCCAAGACCGTATTAAAATTATGAAGGCCCCTTTTGTCTTCCCTAAAGACTCCTTGACAGGAGTGGAGGTCTATGGCCAGGAGTGGTACTTCGGAGCGAACATGGAAGGCCGACATGGGGTTGGTGTACCCCTGAAACACTAAGCATATATATATATATATATATATATATATATATAATATAAATATATATATGCGTGTGTATGTATGTATGTATGTGTGTATGCACTCAGCTACAATCATAAGGAGCCTTATGTGCATTCATCTAAACGGTACTTTAAACCGTGCTTCAAACATAGTGCTGGGTTGTGGCATCTCTGGCACCACGGATCGTCATGGAAGGTTTGTGAAATAGGTTTAGGGCGTGAGGTTGGAAGTTGCTTCCGTGAGTTTCAGGGTCCCTATAAACTTTTGACGGCTTTGATATGACCTTGTGTGTACAGAACATCCTGCTAGATTGTAGCTAAGGTATGTCAGGAATCTTGCCGTGTAGAGCGCTGCATGAGCAATCTATTGGGGGGTAGGGTTTTTCAGTAGGAATGTAGGATGATGAAGAGTTTCAGCGGTCCGAGGATTGGAGCATCAGGGGTCTCAGATAGAGCGTCCACGGTTTAGGGTTTGCGCTCAGGGATGAATTCTAGAGTTGGGCCGTCAGACAGTGCATGCAATGTGATACATTGCTCAATGCTTCTGAAATTCACAACCCTGCTTTTTGGAGGTCCTTTTCCCCGAGAATACTGGCATTTCTGGGCCAGTCCATGACATGCAAAATCTCAAGGATGCACCCCTAAACCCCTTGAAGCCTTCACCCTAAACCCTAGGCCCTAGACCCTACCGGAGGCCATATCCTGTGGCATCTTCTGTCCAGGGTGCAGGAGGTGGCCGGGCCTTCCTGGGTCAGTCAAATCTAATATATACACATACATACACATGCATATACACACATGCATATATATCGATATGTATGCACCGCTACATCAATCTATGTATGTTTAATATGTATGTATAGCTTTTTTCAGACGGGATTGTAAGCTTCATGTACAGGGTTCATAGGGCTAAATTTTTCACATGGGGCTTGGCACAAGCTGCATATTTTCTATGAAGGGTTGATGCGGTTGTACAAGGTCCTAAGGTTCCGGAGATGTTTCAGTGTTTAGCGGTTGAATGTAGGTTTTGGGTTTAGGGAGTTTGAGGGTGTTTTGGCGTAAATTAGATGAAGTGTGGCTGAGGGGTATAGGGTTCAATTCTTGGACTTTGGAGTTGTCGGTATTCCAGTTTAGTTCAGAGTGTAGAGAATGTACATTTTAGGCTTTGTGGAACTGGGGCATTCGCCGCAAGGATTCAGATTTAGAGATTCGAGTTTTACAACAATACTGTTTATTATCGATCATAAGGAGCAGCTTTAAATTCAGCAATCTCTCTCCACATTCTATGAGACCCACAGTCCCTCAGCCTCGCAGGCGGTTTGAGGCGTAGGGCCGAGTCGTGACGTTGCCTTTACGCCAAGAGCGTCCCTTCATTGCCTTCCCCACTGCACTTGTTGGCCAAAGCCGCGATGCTTTGCTTCTGTTCATGCGGCCCGGTTCCTCCTGCAGGTGGCCAGGTCGGGACGGGCGGTCTTGGCCGAGTTACTCGTGAGCTGCGCCCAATTCGGGGAACAGCGTGGACAGGCGCCTGGCCACCAAAGGCTCAAGGCCGACTTTCTTGACCTTAGTTCCTGTCCGAAGGGATGCTGACGGTGCGTCAGCCGAGAATTTGTTTTGCCCTCGTCTCCGACTCTCGCCACGTACTATTCGGAGGAGACGTGCATTCGAGGTTCCGAAGCTATCTGCGGTGTGCTGGGGTGTGCAAAAGAAAACGGTTTAGAGTTTAGGCTTGGACTTAAGCCGCCACGACCCCTTATCATGGACTTTTGAGTTCTGTTTTGACTGTTGCTAATGTTCTTCTTACTGCTGCTTTTACTGCTGCTGCATCAGCAGGCTATTCTCGCTACCATCCTCATGATGCGTAGTGGTATTGTAAACTCTAATCATCTTCTGCCGTGCATTTTCTGTTTGTTTTCTTCTGTGCCAGCCGTAGTTACATCTGCCAGTAACCAGTTGCTGCTCATGTTCCTACGGCGAGTACTTGCATGGCAGCCTATGTTGTTTGTTGAGGTTGACAGCCTCTTTCCGATCCGCACTTGCCAAAGTGCTAGGCATCTTTTCGAACCGTCAGTCTCTCCATGCCATTCGAAATGTGGTGGTTATGGCTGTGGTTGTTGCGGTTGGTGCGGTTGTTGTGGTTGTTGTGGTTGTTGTGGCGGTTGTGGCGATTGTGGGTGTTGTGGGTGTTGTGGTTATGGTGGTTATGGTGGTTGTTGTGGTTGTGGTTGTTGTGGTTGTTCTGGTTGTTCTGTTTGTTGTTGATGTTGTTGCCGTCTTAAGCCTTCTAGATATCCTCAATGCATAAGCCCTGAACTCTGAACCCCGAACTACAAAAACGACATGCCGCTGTGCCTTTGCACTCCACGAGTTTGCAAGCTTGCCCTTAATTGCGGGCTATTCCGTTTAATCGTGGTGGGGATAGATCATCGCAGCTCTTTCGACGGGCAATGCCTAGCAAGTTGATTGTTTCAGACGCGTCTGCCGTGTTGCCGGTAAACTTTGGAAAAGTCCCGGCCCAAAGCCTCTTCGTTCTCCTGATCATTTGTGGGGCTTTTGTTTCCGTTTTGAGCGGGCTTCGTGTGTGTGACCTGGCAATTTGGAAATTTGTCCTGCCGGTGCTACTGGCCAAAACAGCTTTGTTTGTAGAGCAGCTGGTACGACCTGGCACGATTGCAACACAGTACATCATAGCAGCATAGCGTATTCTCGTGCTACAATATGCTATAGCTATAGAGTTACAGAGGACCCTCATTTCCTCGACACCAATAGAGGTTGACTTCGAAGGCCATGTGGTGTATCCAGAAATCAAGCGCATGCATCCGTACCACGGCCTCTCATGGCCATGTGATAGGGTATTCTACAGTTCCCAACTAGTTGAAAAAAGCCTTTGCCTAACCGAGCATGGAGAGTGTGCTGCTGTCGTGGGCAGGTGCGATTGCCACGTTAACATTGCAGCATGCATACGGAGAATACTGGTCACAGCACTTTGCTCTTCGCTGCCTCAAGGGCCGGTCAATCAGAGCGAAGCACGGCGTTTCCATGACGACGTGACAAGTGCCTTGCCAGGTGGCGACCTCTGCGAGCAAGGCGCGCAAAAAGCGCAGGCCGGTGCTCTTGGCTGAGCCCTCCTCAATAGCTGTTCCATGTCGATGCCAGGGAGGGATGGTGGACAAATAAATCAATTTTCAAACGGACCAGCATTGTGCAAAGTTCTAGCGCAGATGCAACAATTCAACGCGTATGTTCGCAATACTAAATTTGGTGGATACTCCCGGTTCCAGTTTCATACAGAACCAGCAAGGCAGAACATAGTGCTCCTCATAGCGGAAGTTCTACGAGTGCCTCTTGACCTGTTGGGCATGATCCACAGCCAGCGTTTGAAGTAAAGTTCCGTGAGTGTACATTATGTAGGCCTCCATAGGGGACATTTGGAAGTGAGTGTTAGGCACTGCACATCAGTTTTTCTGGCAGTGCCTCAGTCGGCCGCACCGACTTTACCCGACTCGGCCTCATTCCCAGGTCGTTGGTGGTGTATGAAACTTGCGTCCAAGAGAAAGACACATTTTGCCGAAAGCGATGTTCGCCGCATTGTGGGCAAGAATCTCCAAAGCTTGCTTCAGCACATGAGGATGAGGCCCTGGCTGACGCCGCCGACACCCTTCTCTTCAACCATGCTTTTGGTTCCCTCTCTTTTGTGCATCAGGCTGTAGCAGAAGCCATGCTCCATCTGCTGGAGGAATTGGTGACATCCAACATACCAAGCATGCCGAAGATAAACTGTTGCATGGGCAGTCTTGGTCTGGTACTGCGCTCGCTGAGCAAACGCCAGCGGCAGAAGTTGGCGCCCCTTATGGTCCAACTGTTGATTCATGAGAACATTTCCGGCAAAGTCGACAACACAACAGTGGTTTGGAGGCTGAAGCTGCTGTGGCTGGCTGATGAAGACCCCACTGAAAACTATGCAGAGGCACAACAGCTGCTGCGGAGTCTTGAGAAGTCCCACGAAGAGCTGCGGCCGGATGTGCGGGTTCTGTTGCACTGCAGCTGAGAAAATGCTACCACGTTTATGTCGACCGTCAGACGCCATGTTATAATGCAATCTTTCCACTTTCACATGCTGTGTGTCTTTTCACCATTTGGAATTCTGTACCGTTGCTATGTTGGCCAGGTGCCCCGAAACCGTTAATCCCGGAAACCTCAATCGTGAAGCTGAAATTATGGGTTGGGCTTCCAGGATCTTTGAGGGTTCCTCAGGCCGAGTTTGGGTGAGCAATGTGCACAGGAGTTGTCCAAGCCAGAAGCCATGCGAAGCAGGTCTGAACAACCATTTGCGTCGCATATTGCTCGAGAGATGATGTGTGAGAGCCTCAAGCCTGAATTGCAATGATACCCGAAGAGCGTACGACGGAGAGCGCTTGGCAGTATCGTGAAGAGCCACGCCCCCTTGACATTGTGGAGCCTTGCATTTTCGACTTGCTCCGCAGCTGTGGCTTGCAGACTCTGCCTTGAATACCTGTCGTTGTGTTCTTACAAGACACGTGCGCGTAAGCTCAACTCAAAGCAGGGATCTTCAACCCAAAACCCGTCAAAGCTCTCCGAGACCCAAGGGTTAGACAGTCCACTGAGCCCGGGCTTTGCAAGATGCTTTGCTGGACACAACAACAGAGTGCGACAGCACCAATCAGCAATAAGTTCAGGTGCCTTGTGTGCTGCTTTCACCCTGGTGCCGCCATGCCGGCGACGTTGCTTCATTGGATTGCTGGAGTGGGCGCGGCCATTTCCATAAAGATCTCATCATCAATTGCTCCTGAGAGATTGAATTGATCACAGCGTTTTTCGGGCCTCTGCGAGCTCTTACCGTGACGGGTGCAATCAGTTTTTATTACATGATCATTACGTTTTCCGTTGTTGTACCCAATGCCTGGCATTGTCGCAATTGCTTTGTGCAGCTACTTACCACGATTAACTTAAGTGCCACCAACGAAACCAACGAGTATCGCTATTGCCATGACTCACGCCTCCGCAAATACAGGATGACGTCGTGTGGCTGGCCCCATTCTTGACCAACAACGTCAGCTACTTCTCCCGGCTAAAGAACATCAGCATCTATGGCATCGTTTGTTGGGCCTCTTGTCGTTGATCGGTCTTGCTTCCTGTATGGTTTCGGTACCCAAAGACCAACATCGGCAGCACGAGTACTGAGATGCTCATCGTAGTCATGGTGATTGCTGGGGGTGCCGTTGGTGTGTGCGGTCCGTTGGATCAAGCCGGATTCGTTCCGCTCGATGTAGTCTGACGTTTCCAGCATTCAGATTTGGAAAGGTAGCAGGTGCGACCGGAGCGAGCTTGTTGTCTGCAGGTTGGGAAGGCAGGGTAGGTAGCGCGCGACCAGCAGCCCCGGAAGGCAGAAGCTGCATCTGTGTTGTGAATCCTGGGCTTCGGGTGAACCCAACCGGACCACCAGATGAACTCAGGTTCAGACCGCCATTGCCATGTGCATCGCCTATTCGGGCAACAAGCTTGTGGATTCTTGTGCTGTGAGCAGCGTGTTTGCCTTCCGGGGGTTAGGGGTCGGGGTTTCGTGTCATATCCCGATCATATCCCCTAAACCCTAACCCTAAACCCTAGCTTGTTGGCCCCCTGAGTAGGCTTCGCCGACGTAAGGAGATGGTGACCCGGAATTCCAAAGATGCTTGGTCTTCCGAGAAGATCTTGACTGTGCTGGCCGGGTCAATGCTGGCTTTGTACTCCATCAAGTTGCTCTATGAGTGGGTGACAGAGGCAGAAGAAGAGCCCCAGGATACCAAGGAAGATGCTGGGCAAGAGACCCTCGGTCCAAAGTTGCGATATCCAAAGCCTTGGATCATGAGCGAAAGCTTCCTCTGGGGTCTCACCTTGAGCAGGCTACATCTCAAGAGATGATAATGACTAAGCCACAACAATAAGACTGCTACGTCCGGCAGCTTCAGGAACAAGTACGCGAAAGTCAGCCCTTCGGACCTGGAGGGCGGCGGGGAGCTCACGCCCGGTCGCAACGAGTCCAGGTGCGCGCTTGGCATTTCAGGGTTGGGTCGGTTTCCACGGGTCAGGTTAAATCTGAAGTCACAGTGTGTCCCGGTTCCAGTGAAATCGTCAGATTTCAGGATACTGCTGTTCCCAACACCGCCATCCGCTGGCTTCAGGATCAGGATCCTTCATGGCTGCAGCATCTAGTGCGCATTCCCGGGAACGGTAGGCGCACTAGAATAGCAGCAACGAGGGCAGAAGCACAAGACCACAACAGCACCGGCGGCAGGTGACGGACGAACCCTGAGCTCACTGTAGAACTGACGAACGTACGGGCAGGAGTAATCGATGCAGCCAACAACAAACGCAGATGTCGGGACAGAGCCAACACAGCCAATTGCCAGGATTAGTCATCATTTTATTGGTGTTCATGACAGCACATAGCAAAAGCCATGCTGGTTGCTTATACGCAGAAATTGTGTAGAAGTATGTCATGCATATACTCATATTCGTATGTGTATATATATATATACACATAGTAGATGTCAGCGTTCTTACTAGTAACTAGCATAGGTCTTTCGTTCAGCGGCTCCAGGCAGCTCATGTCAGCGAGGAATCGCCCGATCGAGTCTGCGAACGCAGCATCGGAGCCCCGTCGGGGAGTTTCAGAACTATCCAGTGTTCAGAGAGGGCACACAGAAGCATGTGTATACGGGTACAAGTATACGGAGAAGTCTGAAGTCATAACATATGTCGGTGTTACGCGCATGGATATACATATAAACCATCCAATTCCCGTGGGGTCCGGGCAAGGACGAACCGCCATTGAGCCACCGGACACGTGCATGCATGACTTTGAGACGTTACACACACACACACACACACATACATGATAAAAAAACATGTGGTACATAAACTTGGATAACCACATATAAATAAATATGCAGTGACAGTTGCAAGTGCGCATGATTGTTTCTACCAGTTGCTGTCGCGCAAGTCAGGACCATGACAGGAAGAGCTTGGACGAGAAGGTGCGGCGGTCACTAAAACCCTAGAGCCACATAAGTCCCACATGAGTCCCACATGAGTCCACATGAGTCCCTCATGAGTCCCACATGAGTCCCACACGAGTCCCACATGAGTCCGACATGAGTCCACATGAGTCCGGTAAGGGGGTGATCTGTGTCTTTTTTTTTGCGTTATCTGTGTCTTTTTTTTTGTTTCTAGGTCCCACCTCCCAAGGAATGGGTTCCCGTACCCAAGTGTTTGCGTAATCTGTGTCTCTTTTTTGCGTCATCTGTGTCTTTTTTTTGCGTTATCTGTGTTTTTTTTTTGGTTCGCTTTTCGATTTACTTATCCATGCCTGGTCGGCTTCAAGCATACAGCTGTGTCGCTATTGGATTTGCACCTCGACCTTGCTAGCGACGGTCGCTGAGACTTTTCCTGGCTGAGTTGCGAGGGGGCTGGTGCTTAGACCAGAGACTGCCCAACAGTGGCAGCACACACTTGACAGATGTGCGATTCGTTGCGAGCATGCTCTTGCCGAGGGCCCGAGTGGCCGCTTTGAGCTTGTGAGTTTAGGTTCTGCAAGCGCATGTCGTCTCCGTCGCAGTTGCGCGGAGTCAACGCTAGTTTAACTCAAGCCGAACGAGCTCGACGGCAGGCACGAGAAAAAGGTTGCGCTCTCCATAATTATTTCTGGGTTTGCGCTGAATGGTGTCCCGGGCTTGAACATCATGAAAGTGTTACAGCTAAATTAGGGAATCCACCGGCTCGTCCTTCCTCGTGTTCGCTCATGAACTTGAACATACCTTGGCACTTTGGGCCTGCTGAAGCCAAGACACTTCTATTCGTACCCCGCCTATGCTGGGCTCAGACTGGCTCCCTGCCGAAAGCCCGGGCCGCCCATCAAGGCCTGCCGACTTGAATGACGGAAGCATGGAAGATGCGGAAGAATCATTTGATAGAGTAGTGTCGCCAGCACTTCGGCCATCGCAGCCATGGACTGGCTGCGCATCTTCTACAGCTTCCCTTCGCAGGTGTGCGCCGTACTTCATGCAATGGCGAGACCAATGTCAGCGTTGGAGCAGTTAGTAACAGCTAGTAGGACGGGCTCATGGACAGTAAACCGTCGCTTACGAAGTGCAGGAGCTGCAAGACCTGCTCACGCCGGAGGCAAGCCGACGTGGGATCAAGTGTTCACTTTTTTTGCGCCATGTAAGTTGAAACGATGGGTAGAAGCTTCCAAGCAAGTTTAGGCATGAGGCGAGGTGTCCCGCCTGAACAGTACGCGTCCCTCTTCACTCTTGGCCATGGGGAGGAGGGTTTGCCTGTAGACCACAGAAATCCACAGAACCTTGATGTCTCAACCTGTTTTGCCGGGCACAGGTGACAGTTCATCTCCGGAAGTGCGCCGTAGGCTCAGAGAGATAAGGCGAACGGAGCACTGGTCATGGCATTCCATGCGCTGGCCCTGTCAGAGACCAGACATTTCATTAGAGCGAAAATGCATCACATGCCCAAGGGCTGCAGCTCGTGCAAAAATCCGAGCTGCTGGTTCAAGGCCTGGACGGGAGCAGGGAAAATCGAGCACATGCCGCCTTTTGTCCAGAGGGGTTCTATCTTGATTTGTTCCACCGTCCACAGAGACAATTTCATTGCGGAGCTCGTGTAACTTCTTCATCGGAAAACTGCCGCTCTGAGAGTTTGACAGGACCTCCCGAGGCGCAAGAAGCCTCTCCTTGCGGTGACCTCAGGGAAATGTGCAACATCGTGTTTTCAGTCCTTCGAATTCGCATCCGCGCAGTCACCAGAAACTTCAGTAGGCTGCAGGTCATCTTGAGGAGAGGTGCTGCCAAGTGATTTTGAGATGCCGAGGCAACCCTCCCGGAGGCCATGGGATGTCGCAGCATCGTAGCAGAAGTATAGCGGTTTGTGGCGTCAGACGTTGACTTCGCAATCTACTCATGATCATGATTTCTGATGCGAATGCGCAGTATCATAGCCGGACCTGCGTAATTGATGGATCTAATTCATCCGCGTGGTAGGGTTTATGGCTATGCTTGTCGAGGACCGCCTGCCAATGCCAGAGCCGGCAGCTGCGGAGGAGGCGACGTTTGAGTGATGAGCCGTTTTGGGAGTGCAATCGGGCGCGCCTTCATCCTAGATGATATGTATTATTATACCATTATGCGCTGCTGGGATGGATGCCCTTCATTTGGACGGACGGCGTAGGAATGCTTTTCACCAACAGGCTCTTTCGTTGCTCAACCAGCAGCTGTCACGCAATGATGAAACCGTGCAAATGCGAACCTGCAAGAGGGCTGAACAGCTCATTCAGTTCATCTCCGCACCGTCGCTCACGAAGTGTGTCACTTCATCCAAGGATGAACGCAATTGGGTCAAGCGTCCGAGGATTTGAGTTCTTGCACGCAGAATGACGTTCTGTACGCACAGGCTGCTACACATTTCGTGTATGCAGAAGGCTCGTGCAAGACGTCTGACGATGCATTCAGAAATACGTCAGGAGCAACATGACATGGGAAAGCTCAGCAGATTGAACTAACACCTCAATTGCAGTGTCTGTGGTATCCTCATATACACGGTGCCACGTCGAGTGCTTTCCTCACCAGGCTAGCAAATCGTTTTTGACGGTGACATGTTCAACCCGTTTGGTTGCCAGGCCGCTGCGCCACCTGGTTGCTGGGAGACGGCCCACAAACTGCCATGCCCTCAGGGCATAAAGATGACCTTCCTAACCCCAGCACCAAAAACTCCCCCATCCGCTGAAATGACACTGCTTCAAGATTGAGGAGCATTGCCAAGTCATGGGGGGGTACAAACTTTAGATGGGGGGTGTCAAGTGGCCCAAACCCATTCTGGTCCAGCGTCCGTACGAAGAGTCCTTGTAAAGATGGCTCCAAGTGGGAGGGCATCTCCGCATTATGGTTCTTGATCAGGCCTGTATGTTAAGAAAATGTATGATTATGTATATGTATATGTGCATATATTGCTTTCCTGGGCGGAGTAAGCATCCGGGATATCGGGGTTCATCTTGCATTTGGGTTTGCTAGGATTGGTAGTTCAGATCGCAAAATCGTGTGCAGTGTTGCATGCTGCAAGTATCAGGACCAAGATTGCCAAGTGTCTCTGGGCGTCGGTGCAGGGTGCCCAGTACGTGCGCGCCTCAGGTTATTCAATGTCCCATCGCACACTTCCGCTCTTAGAACGCTATGAAGACTCGATGAAATTGTTGTGGCTCTGCGAGACACTTTAGCTACATTCCGCCACTTCCATCCAATCCCTGAACCATAACTTCCCTACAACGTTATGACCGTTATGATTGTAAACATGGCCCGGAACATGATGTTTGAAGAAGAAGACGGTGGCTTGGGAGCACAGTTTAGATCGCTAAGTTGACAGGTGGAGCTCGCCACGCCGAAGGCGTGGGAGACATGCGCATCTTGAGCTTCTGTAGGTGGAACGGTCACGTACAGTAGAAAAGGCGGTTGTTGACTAGTGTTTCGTTCCTGCCACATGATGCTTGGGTCAGCTGATTGTTGTCAGCATTGGGCATTGCTATGATGAGGAATACGCGGGTGGTTGTCAAAATTAGGGTTCCTTTGTGGGTCCTTATTATAGTACGGCACCTGATATTTAGGGTACCCAAAATGGGACCCTAATTTCGACAACTACCCATGTTGGGTTCCACCGATAAGCTAGCGCAGCGATAGCAGGGTAGGCCTGGTAAAATCGAGAAGGTAGAACAATTTGCTGCCAGGGGTCGCCATACTGGCTCAACCTGGCGACGGGCGAGGCCACTTGGGACAAGCCCCGTGCCGTGTGTGCCTGAGATCACCCGTCCAGTGCGTGCTGAGTGAGTGCAAGATTGGAGATTGCTTCGACCAGTTGCAAGGAACCACGGATCGCCGAGCTCGTGCAGCTGTGGAAGATGGGAACCATTACGCAGGCGGGGGGGCGTTTCCACATATTATTTAGGAGTTGTAGGAGGGTCCTTGATTCGGGCGTCTCTTGTTGTGCATTGTGTTTCCTTTGGTTTTGGGTAGGCGTTTCGGGCCCTGCTTGAAAGATTTAGTATGCCCGTCTCCGCTACCTGCACGCCTGGAAAGGTCCCGCCGCACCACAAGCTGGCGTCCTTCCTTTGAGATCCTCGGAGGTTGCTCGGCCTTCATATTATATATATGCTATATATATACACATCTGCTGTACATATATATATATATATAATATGTATATATATATATATATGTATATATATATATATGTATATATATGTATATATATGTATATATATATATATATATATATATATCGGCTTGGCATCATGCACCTAGAGTCGCTTTTGTTGGGGGGTTTCGGATTCTGGAAATTTCTCATAATCAGTGTTTTTTTCAAACCTTTTTCCCTGGAGGCGCCCATCATAATCCCTTGTAATCCCGCTATACCTTTCGGGTCCCTACGGTTAGCCTGCTTGTGAGGGAACTGCCATCTTGACTGATGCTCCCCAAATCCTGTTATTTCATGCGAAAGGTTCACGGTTCAAGGCCAGAACCCCCAGAGACCCCTACTAACCAACGCGTGCATTGGAGTCTGTTGTAGCCGGTTTGTGCGGCTGCAGGTGCCGGCGGTTGGTGGCTTCGTCGGCGGCAGAGCACGGCGAGGCGGTGCATGGGCAGCGTGTCACAACTGGGAAATATTTGGAGCGATTTGGAGCGGTTCAACATCCTAGCGGACGTCGCAGCCAACGGTGGCGCATCGAATACCCAGGCGGGATGTTGGCCAAATGGCATGTGCCAGACCTCGCCGCCGATTTCAATGGCGGTAGGTGCTGGTCGTTGGTGTTGGGCTAGCAGGTTTGGCCTGCGCTCTGCAGCCGCAGGACCATGGCATCCGGGAGCGGGTGCGGGGGCGGGTTGCCTGCACAAGCTGATGCAGACACAGGGCCCGTGCCATGGAATGCGCCGCGCCGTGCAGGTGGAGCACTTCAGTGAAGCACAGGGAGGCTCCCGATGCCATGTCCGATGCTGGCACTCTGGCGCTGGGCATTCAGTTCTTTCGCTTCGCGCTACGTTGGCATGCGTTGCTACAGTGCTGCAGGTGCATGTGGCTGTTTGCCGTAGCTGCCGTGATTTGCAGCACTGCAGCATGGCCTCCCGCCGCTCCCTTCAATGGAGATCTTGCTACGGCCGTCGATCTGGCCAAGTCGACGCCATTTTGCTCCAGGAACACCAGCAAGAAGCTGGGACGGCTGGGACTCCAGCGGCAGCATCCTATTGAAGCTCTCTGGTGGCGGCGTGCTCTGTGTGACACCTATGAGCCTGTCGGGCGTCCGGTGTGAGCATGCGGCCCGAGTCATTTGAAGCCGCTCAGCCACAGGGGGTTTGTCATGAAACGGGCGGCTTTGGGCATTCGGTTGTTTCCGTTTGCACTAGGTTGGCATGCGTTGCTGCGGTGGTGCAGCTGCTTTTGTTTGCTTGCCATCGAGCCGCCGCGATTTGCGCAATGGCCTCCTGCCGCTCCCTTCCATCCAGGACCTTGGATGTCGATATCAATCAGCGGAATCTCGCCGCTGCCATCGAGTTGGCCATCACAGAGGCCGACGCCAGTCTCTTCCAGGGACTGAAGCGGCAACACCCTTGAAGCTCTCTGAGGGCGGCGTGCTCTCTGACACCTGTGACTGTGGGGCCTCCAGTATCCGCGTCCGGCCCGAGTCAGTTGAAGCCGCTCAGAGCGAAGTGCAGGGCCTTTGGGCCAAGTTGGAGGCGGAGAGGGAAGACGCTTCCGTCAAGGATTTTTTGGGGGAGGCCACTGCGAAAGCTGCAGACTGCAGTTCGGTTACATCCAGCTCGCACTCAAGGTCGTCTTCGTTTCCTACGCCTCTTGCACTGAGTCCTGAAATTGTGAAAGCACGATCACAAATCATGGCCTCAGGTTGGGTGGGCGAGGATCCGCTCTTCCGGACAGCCGACGGGCTCTTTTCGGGGGTCCGGAGAAGGTGCCTGGCAGTTCCTGGCTAGGCTAGACCGTGCTGGCGAGCCATCGTGTGGCTGGACGCCGATCCTGGCTGGACTTGAAACCCGCAAATGTGCTTGGGACTTGGGACGAGGGGCTCGAGGGATGCATATGGCATATGCTTGAAGTTGTTCTCTTACAGTAGTTGCTGCTACTTCGGCTCTAGATTCCCTATAGATGCGCTGATCGAATGCTGGACGGATCAACCACGGAATCGTTTGTCCCATACCTTCCAAAACGTTGTAACAACACGATTCGACTCGACCTCCCAAACATGTCAAAATTGCATGAGTAATTACCCGCTATCTCAAGTTTTCAGGGAAACCCGCAGGCCTCAACACCGTTATCCCCAGTACGAAATCTCTTGAAGACGGTGGCCCAATGTGTGCCCGACATGGGAAGAGATGATTCTGGATAATATGGATACGTTTACTCAGTCTGTGCTTTGCTCGGATCGATTCTTGCGTATCGGTTGGGATGTTGCACTCCCCCCCGTGCTTTGAACTGATGGGGCTGTTCATCTCCTTGCAGCAGGACTGGTGTAGTGACTCATCCTCTAAACCCATGTGTTGCGGTGAGGGCGGCATCACGTCCCACTGCAAAGGAGAACGTAGTCAGAACAGTAGCAGGAACCCCGTGAGTCGCAGTCCCGCACCTGCATGCTGCAGCATTCTGCATCTGTGTGAATCACGCTTCTTCTTCAGCAAGCATCTGGCAGGCTGGGATCCGATTGTCGTATTGACTCGTTTTGGCATGCTGGTGGCATCTTGTGCTGAGCCAGCGCTCGTGAGGCCATGACGCGCCGCAGACCTCGATGCCATGTCGACTGAGGAGGGCCGTGAGGGTCTGTGAGCGTATGTTGTTGTGGATACCACAAGCGCTGTGGAGTGCGTTCCTGGCGTTGCCAAGCTGTGTTGCCGGCTCCGGTGGCGAAGGAGCTCCAGGCGTACTTAGACTTGGACAGATTGTGCAAGAGAGTCCAGGACTTTGCCTTGGCGCTGGGAGTTCTAGCGCCAGTGATTTCACGCACTTTGCTTGCAGAAACGCAATCAGCAAGCTCGGCCCTCGATTTCGGGTCTGTGGAAATCTGCTTTTCGAGACATTCAACGTTTTGAGGTGGAGGCTGTTCGAAACGTTCTTTGGTCCTGGGCTGCTTCCTCAGAGCTCCGTTGCGGCTCACACAGATCTGAATCTTGGGATTCCTGTTCCTATCAGGTCAGAGATGCCGCCGATTCATGGACATGCGGATTCTACAGTTGGTGCTGTGACCCTGTCCCGGTCACAGAAATATCTTGTTGCGTCCAGTTGACATCCAAGTGCCAGAGCCCGCGCAGACGGTGCGCGATGAGGCCGACCATGTGCGCGACGATGACGTGGTTGTGGCCTGAGGCAGGCTGTGTACGGGGTCCGCAGAGTCCGCGACACGTGTTGCATGATGCAACGGCGAGCCACGCGAGGTCGACATTGATGTGCCGCGCCCTTTGCCGGTGTTGCCGGCCCGATGCTTCGCGGAGATCAGGCACCTCACACGCTGATGCAGGCACAGGGCCCTGATGCGCCGTGCCGTTGGAGCACGTCAGCGAAACACAGGGAGGCTCCCGACACCATGTCCGATGCCGTCCTGGCAAGCTTCGTCGAAAGCAGCCGATGAGCTCTGGCTTTGCTCATTCGCGTTCTTTCCCTTTGCATCTTTCTGGCACGCGTTGCTGCAGTGGTGCAGCTGCATGTGGCTGTTTGCCCTAGCCGCCGCGAGCTGCAATTGCTCCCTTCAATGGAGATCTTGCCGCGGCCATCGAGCTGGCTTGCTCCAGGAACAGCAGGAAGCTGGGACGGCTGGGGCTCGAGCGGCAACATTTTTGAAGCTCTCTGAGGGCGGTGTGCTCTCTGTGACACCTGTGAGCCTGTGGGGCCTCCGGTGTGAGCATCCGGCCCGAGTCGTTTGAAGCCGCTCACAGCGAAGTGCAGGGCCTCCGGGCCAAGTTGGAGGCAATTTGGCCTCCGTGGATGTCGATATCTGCGGAGTCTTGCCTCGGCCATCGAGCTGGCCGTCCAGAAGGCCGACCGCGTCTCTGACACCTGGGGCTTCGGTGTGAGCATCCGTCCAGAGTCCCTTGAAGCCAAGTTGCGCGCAACAACAGAGCTCAACCAGAGCATCCTCTCCGACCGAGTGCTGGAGACTTGCGAGTGTGTTTTTTCGTTTGTTTTCCTGTGGTGCGTTCCTGCGAGAGATTGCACTACATATCATGTGTCGTCTTCGCCCAGGAGCTGGGCCTGAGCTTCTAGCGGTGAAGTCCCGCCACGGTGCGGCTCGGAACGACGTGCGGCTGCAGGCCGCCACGCGGCGCCGGTGCACCGGGTGCAGAGCTTGGGTGCGTTGCCCGCGTGCCGACGGCTGCTCGGGGAAGCACTCCAGCTTTTGGGGCTCGGAACGCCTCCTTTTCATCCGGCGTCAACCGAGCTTGCTGTCTTTCAGCGGTTTCCAATGCGAAGGCGCTGCCGTGCGCAAGGGCCTCGACGAGTCGCAAAATGCAACAAGGGCAGCCCAACGCTGCATCGGGCATGCCATGGCTACAGGTGCAAATCATTCCTGCTAGACGCATCATCCCCCGGTCGGCGACCGAAGCGCTTGGAGGCTCTGGTGGCTCCGCTCGTGATGCTAGTGCTCCAGCTGCCGGCGGAGTGAGCCCGGACACGGATTCAGGGCAGGGGCCACGAAGTTGACGCTGCCGGCTGCAAACGAGATGCCGCTTCGGCTCAGTGCGGACTGTTCTACGGCGAAAGGGGCAACCAGGGCGTCTGCCAGTCTGCCAGCCTGAGTCTGATCATGCTTGATGCTGGAATATCGCAAGCAGATTGCTTTCATGTTCACACATTGTTCTTGAACATCAGGTTCCTCCCACCTGCTTCCCTGAATCACCGTATGTCATGTCGTATGACATAGATGGCTCCTGCTTCTTTTTGCCTTTTGCCCTAACAGTGGAGGAAGTGGTTGGGAAAGGGAGAGGAGGTCAATGAAAGTTGGATGGCACCAGGGCACACGGCCCGGGGTTTGGGCCTCCTGCACACCGTGACAGGCTGCATCTCGGAGCTCATCGGCTGCTTCTGCCATTCTCCCACGAAGCTTGCCAGGACGACATCGGACGTGGCGACGTTCGCTGAAGTCCTGCACCTGCACCTTCATACCTTGTGCCGCTGCTCTTCATTTGCTACTTGCATCATGAAGACGCTGCAGGAAAGACAGCTCAAAGACTGGTGAGTGGGGGCGGGTGGGCCTTGGCTTAGCCGTTGCAATGTCTGGCCAGACATTGCAACGGCTAAGCCAAGGCCCACCCACGCCCCTTTACTCAGCCCGTCCAGCTGCCTGGCTCCCGGACGGATGGGCTGTGTTGGGATTGGAGCCGCAATTACAGTCCCTGCTTTCCTTTCCTGCTTCCCATGCGTAAAATGGGGCAGAGCTGCAGCTGAGCACAAGCCCGACAGACCCGAGGGCACGGAGGAAACTGCATCACAACGCCAGATGCAGACCGTTCAGAGAACGGCCTGTGCTTATCAGCAGTCGCCTGAAATTGTGGCAGCAAACAGTTGACAGATTTACCAAAGTATGTTCGGGGATTCGTTGCGAGCATGCTCTTGCCGAGGGCCCGAGCGGCTGCTTTGAACTTGTGTTAGTTTAGGTTCTGCCAGCGCATGTCGTCTCCGTCGGAGTTGCAAGCCGAACGAGCTCGACGGCAGGCACGAGAAAAAAGGTTGCGCTCTCCACCTTTGTGCTTTTGTGCTGAATGGTGTCATGGGCTTGAACATCGTGATAGTGTTACAGTTACAGCTAAATTAGGGAATCCACCGGCTCGTCCTTCCTCGTGTTCGCTCATGAACTTGAACATACCTGCTGAAGAAGGCAAGACACTTCTATTCGCACCCCGCTTATGCTGGGCTCAGACTGCCCGGCCACCCATCAAGGCCTGCCGACTCGAATGACAGAACCATGGAAGATGCGGAAGAATCATGTTGAAAGAGTAGTGTCGCCAGCACTTCGGCCATCGCAGCCATGGACTGGCTTCGCATCTTCCACAGCTTCCCTTCGCAGGTGTGCGCCGTACTTCATGCAATGGCAAGCCTGCGGTGTTCACATAGGGATAATCAAACATGTGTTGTACCCCAGTTTCATGCGCGATGACCAATGTCAGCGTTGGAGCAGTTAGTAACAGCTAGTAGGACGGGCTCATGGACAGTAAACCGTCGCTTATCACGAAAGCTAGCTCTGTTGAGCTCGCGGGAGTTGGCCTTTAGCAATTCACCTTGTATTAAGGCACTAGGGCAAAAACAGGGTTTACACCTTATCAGGTGGGACGTCCAAGAGTTAAGGTGGGGGGTGAGGGGGGGGGGCCCTACCCTTAGGTCCCCCCCCCCTCCTCAAGGTCTCTCCGTTTCGCTTGTGTTTGAAGTTCGGCGACTGATTCGAATAGGTTTTCAATGCATTCCCGAGAGCCACACTTTCGCAGCCTAGCTTTCGTCGCCTTGTCTCAAGTGAAGTGCAGGAGCTGCAGGACCTACTCAAGCCAGAGGCAAGCCGACGTGGGATCAAGTGTTTACTTTTTTTGCACCATGTAATTCCAAGCAAGTTTAGGCATGAGGCGAGGTGTCCCGCCTGAGCAGTGCGCGTCCCTCTTCACTCTTGGCCCTAGGGAGGAGGGTTTGCCTGTAGACCACAGAACCTTGATGTCTCAACCTGTTTTGCCGGGCCTGCAGGTGACAGTTCACCTCCAGAAGTGCGCCGTAGGCTGAGAGAGATATGGCGAAAGTTCTCGATAATCGAATTGATGTTCTCGCCGGTTCAGAATAAAGACTTATGCAGTCGGAGACAGCGCTAAACCATGAAACGCGGCAGAGAGAAGCTACACTTTTGCGCTCAGCGGACTGTCAATGCTCTAGATCCTTGCCGATTAAATGTACAGACATGGCACCGCCTAGGCATGTTGTGTCCTTCAACTGGAGCTCTTCTTGAGCCCTTGAAAAGCATCCGATGGCCAAGGTAGCACAGTAAGCGAGGCCTCAACTGAAGCCTTCTATCTTTCTATACTCCTCCTTGGCGCACATCGGAAGAGCCGCGCCACATCCAATCACAGGCTTCAGTAGATTCTGTTGCCATTGTTTTCAGCGCAGCACCGGCAAAGCTGTACTTGCCGCTTCCTTCCCGCATTTCGAAGACCCCAGCAGTTTTCATAGACGTGAATTACATCTCGTCCTTCTGCTTGATGATAAGGCCCTGTAAATATTCGCACCTGAGGAGGTTGCGGATGAACCCTCTCAAAAGCCGGAGGATCCTTCTGAACTCCTTGATCTCTTGTTGTGACCGGAGGTCTTGTTGCCGTTGTCGAAGGTCGGGGCTGTTTGTTATACCCTGAGGACGACGAGGAAGGTTGGTTGTCCATTGGGGATGATGGGAGCTCCGCCTTCGTGGTTGTTGGTACAGGAGGTTGTTGGTCTCTGAACATTGGAACGGGAGAGGTACCCGATGGCATAGTCGAATCAAACAACTCCTTTAGGTCGACCAATCGAACTTTCTGTTCGTCACTCAAGTCCTGAGGAACCATTGACATAAGCAGCTGGAGCTCCTTTAACTCATTTCTTGTAAGTTTCTTCGGCTCACTCTGCAACGCCCTCGTTCTCAAGGCTCTAATTCGAACTTGCCTTTGACCCAAGCAGTACTTAAGACCTTCCCATACGCCAATCACTGCAATGGCCATGACAATGATGACAATGTACAGGTCCCATGGCACTTCGGTCTGGATGTTTTCCTTGGTGCTTTGAACTCCACAAACCTGACACATCATAAGTAACTTGCACAACCAAGGCTTCACATTCATCATCTTGTTGATCGTTACCTTGGCCCTGCGGTCCTTGACGCTCCAAAGATCCTTCAACTGGTCCAAACGGTCTCGGCTAAATGGCTTTGTCCCCAAGTCCGCCCTTTGAGTGATTCCCGGCTCATGCTTCACCAGGATTTCTTTGTTGTTGATCCTTTCACGAATCCAGTTTGCACGGAGTCGTAAGTGCCTTGTTCTCCAGTTTCCAGCCGATGTTGTCATCAACGAAATCGCCGCACTATTATCTATGCGTAGCTGTACTGGTAGCACCTTTCCCAGGACCTCTTCTATCAGGCACTTCGTGGCATAGGTCATAATCGCACCCTCAACACCCTCCATCAACTCTGTCTCAGCCGTCGACAAAGAAATCAGCGGTTGCCTCGAACTCCTCCAAGCCAGCGGACTTGAACCATAGAAAATAGCGATAGATCCATGGCTCTTGCCAGACGAGGGCGCAAAACTCGAGTCGGTGTAGGTGATGAGCTCCTGGGGTCCACCAGTGTCATTGGCAAACCTCACGCGGT